AATCAGGGCACACGCGGTAGTGTACCTCACCTAAAGATGCTCAGTGTAATGTTTTGACGTTAGAATACAATTAGGTCTTAGTTGGAAGATATCCACTAAAACACGAAAAATCAAAATACTGTGATGTCACCTGTCATTAAGCATTTATTAAACTTGAAGCAACCATGTTAACTCTAAGTGTACGTTTATAAAACTAATTCAGGTATTTAGATGGTTGGAGGCGATTGACAGGAAGCCTTCGACCAAGGTTTAGTGTTACAAGGCGTATCTGCAACCTTGAAGGAAAGCATTTCCCTTCTGAGATTCGAGTCCGCTCCACCCATTGCTGTAGTAAGAGAAGTTACCACTAGGCTATTCGGGCTCGTGACTGACCTCCTGTAGGACTGTAGTAGATACTTTGATTGGACACTAGTGCGCTTATAAAACTAATTCATGTACCCGTATTATACGTTTACAGGAGCTAATTTCACATTTTCTTGTAGGATATTTGCCATTGGAATACTGAACATTGCTTTTCGTTTTTTTCATATATGTTTTACGTGGTTATAAACTTTCGTGCTCGCCCCGCGCTTTCCGAAGTAATAAAAATACACCTCTCCAAGTTTTCACTTGTGCATCCTTATACAACGTTGTTAGTCTTTGACCGTGTGCAGCGTTAGCACATCGTAGAACGTGGAAACGTGGATGTTCTATAGTCTTCTAATCGGAATCATATCTAGTACACAATAAACTGGTGAATCGGAAGTGTTAAAATATTTGCCGGATTATCAACATTCTAACTTTTGTGGATCTATACGTATTATGGTGACTCTAAATCATAGCAACCCAAAACGAAACTACCTAATGAACGGACTGATGACCTCGGCGAACTTATGCACAGTAACTGATTTAACCTAACTATGAGGAAATTGGGAGGTTTTTTTGGGACATGTACAAGAATATTATCCTAAGTAACCATTTTTAAACATTGCATTACTTGTAAATAGATGTTTATTCCAAGTTACGCAACTCTACTTCTGACGTATCTGATTGATCGCTAGAGGTAGTTTCGTTTTGGGCTGCTGTAGTTTAGAGTCACCCATGTTATGTGTTTTGGACTCATTCCATTGAGCCTTCTCAGCGTGTAACCTGCACTCTGTTGTAAGCATCATCATTTTTGTTTCGTCGTTCGATATGTTCATTTTGTATAGATTTCGCTGTTTTGTTATATGCAAACCACTTTTTCATGAATCGTAATATATCTCCCACTAACTGTGATAATTTTGAGTAGAGATCCATTAGTACTATTACTCTTACTGCGCCAGCTTTTAAATTCAGAGACCTTCATCTATGGCTTGCTCGACTAAGATATTATTTCCTTGCCAATAAGCTGTCGTCGCAGAACTCTAAATTTGGCATTTTGAGTACTGCCGGACTTATATGTCAGGTGAGTACGCAAATACACTGTTCATTCCAACAGTGAATCCCCCTACGATAAATTAGAAAAGAGGTACTACGATACACATGGCTCATTAATGGGCAAATACTTGACAGCTCACTAAGTATTGCCGAGTTTGATAGTAAGAAACTGTCCCAACTTGTGAGATGCATGCAAAGCCTCTTGGCAGATAAGGAAATTGATAAACGTCTGTTTTTTAAATTCTGGCTCCGACGACCGCCTGCCTTCGAAGATGACGACATTAATTTAGATAAACCCTCTGAAATCGCCGATCGCATTTATGAGAGTTCAACTTCTCAAACAATCGCTCCCACCAACCAAACACCGAAGACTCAGGATCAGATACAGAATTTAGAATATAAAGTGCCAGTTGGCAAAACTAATTACGCACACACGATCGAGTCATTCTGAGAGCTCATCCCGTCAAAATCGTTCTACGTCCCCTAGCATGTACAGAGAGTATGGCAATATCTTTTGATACCGACATAATTATAGAGGCAGTGCCCGGCGAAACCACTCCCCTTTTTATTTTCAGATAAAAGCAATGGACATATCGGGATTTGTGACGAATTCTGCCATTGGCACCCCACACTCGAACAGTCATCTTTTTATGTAACAGATTAAAGTACTGGCACCACACTCCTAGTTGATACAGGGGCAGAATTGAGTATTCTCCCTTCATCTACACAGGACTGTCGACATCCAGAACCAACAATCACACTCCGAGCTGTCAACAAGTTCGGCATTGTTACGTATTGAAACAAACGTATGTTATTGGCCTCCAGAATGCCTACAGTTGGTCATTTACCGTTGCAGATGTCTCATCACCAACTGTAGGCAATAATTTTAAGCAGCACCACAAGTTACTGATAGATCCAAATCGATCAACCCACACAGCAAAGCGTGCATTGCTGGTGCAATCATCAAATCATCATCTTTAAATCTGTTGGTCACACACACACCGGCATCTCCACATACCGAATCAGTTAATCAGTTCCCTGATCATCTGCAACCTTCTCTCAGAGAATCCAAACTGAACCATCATATGGTCCGCCACATTAAAACCACTGAACTATCAGTTTTCACACACCCTGGATGCCTTGATCCACAACGATTGGGTATCGCAAAGACAGAATTTGATGGGATGCTAAAGCTTGGAATAATCCCACAATCTAGTAGCTCGTGGTCTTTACTGCTTCATATGGCCATTAAAAAGTCTTCTGGTGGAATGAGACCTTGCGGTGGCTATCGATCTTTAGACAAGCGAACGGTACCCGATAAGTACCCGCTACCACTTTTACATGTTTTCACAAGTAATTTGCCGGATGTTAAGGTTTTCCTCAAGAGTGATCTCATAAGAAAATGTCACCACATTACTGTCCATCCGGATGAGGTTCCGAAAACCACTATCACTACACCGCTCGGTTTGTACGAACTCGTTCACATGTCTCTTGGACTAATGAATGCCACCAAGACATTCCGACGCTTAGTTTACCAAGTAACTCGTGGTCTTCCCTTCGCTTATGCATGCATTGATGACTTGCTCATTGCGAGTGTAAATGAAGCAGAAAATCTGAAACGTGTGAAGAATGTATTCGGAAGACTTCACCACTATGGGATGACCATCAACTTGGACAAATGGAAATTCGGCTAAACTTCATCGAAATTCCTCGGGCATTTGATCGGCTTCCCCATACAACGTTGTTAGTCTTTGACCGCGTACAGCGTCAGCACATCGTAGAACGTGGAAACGTGGCGTCATAAATTTGAGCTTTTGATGTTGTTATTGTTGATCACATAGTTCCGACAAAGAATAATCGCGCTTTTGCTATCTTTGGAACTTTTGGTGACTGCGCATGTCTCAAAGGAGTGTTTTTTCATCTATGCAGCAGGGTTCACAGATTGGTTTCCCGCGTTAAGACCACAGGGAGTCAGTTTTGATCGCAACGATTTTAACGTGTCTTTTCACAGTGGTGAATCTGAGCAATATGTACTATTGTACCTGCATCTTCATTTTGGTATTTACCATACAAGGCGCAACGTTTCTAGTTCATCTGTTACTAGCCACACAATCACATCTTTTTATTTAGTAAGTTTGGCAGTAATCATATGCAAATTTCTTTGTAATTCAATATTCTGATATTCATCGCTTATCGTCAGAACTTTTGGTCAAATTAGTTATGTGTATGACTTTATTGGTGAGTGGTCAACTGTCAGAGGTAGCAGCATATCTTGTCTGAGGGAGTCAAACAGGGCTGCATATACCCGCACATTTTCGTATATTCATATTTCTCAACGCAGACTCCGTACTGGGACATATAGTGGGATTAGCAGTGACGCTAATTTGTTGAAAAAGGTTCTGGTGAGTATGATTAGGAATGTCATGGTGCTACACTAAAGTCAGCGGTGAAAACCCCTTGTTTACATATTGCCTGGCATAAAAGTAGCAGCAGCCTGACTATCGTAATTAAAGACAGGAAGATCCACTGCAACCTAAACAGAAATATCCTACCGCGGTTACTGCAGAGATTCTTGTGAAAATCCTCAGTGGATCGTCTACCACAAAGTGAAAAGTAGATCATATTCCTACATTTTCGTCGTGAGTTTACACCCCCTAGAATGGAGTGGAAGGCTGTAGCCGTAGCATGGCAAATGATCTACAAATCCCTCCTAAACAGTGTTTTTAGAGTACCGGTACTTATTTGAACACTTCCCTTAGTTTTATTCTGGTTGAGTCTTATTTCTGATGTTCTCCCTCGATGCTTAACTAACTTTTAATCGGGGTTGTATTCTTGGGGTTTTACCATTACTTTTCGCCTTCATCTGTTTGAAAGATCACTATGGCAAATCGAACTATGCGGATCACAGTGACGTAAAGCCAGCAACACTGTTCATAATTTATAGGATGTTGTGATGTGACATCTACCAGCCTCAGCATGTTATGTCTCGGAGACTTATTGTCTGTCTATCGAAACTTACTGCATCAGATGTTTTCAGTATAAGTGCACTAGTCATCTTTCCGTCGCTAAGTATAGTGAGTCACTTTGATTGGTTGTCTTTATCTTCTTGATTGATTAATCTGACTACTGTTTAGGTGAACTTCTAATTTAGTTGCAGGTTACTTGATAGTCGTTGGATCATAAAGCGTTAATCAGAAAATTGGAGACTACTGATTAACTATTCTGTTCCATTTTACAACTCTTCAACAGCACTTACGAATCATCCAGACCGAGATCGCTTCTACCAACCAGAACCATAAACAATCACTCAGTTCACCTTGACATAGTGGACAGCATAGGCCGTAACCATCTATGATGGCTTCAGGACATCTATTCAGGCATCGGAGAGCTGGAGGTTGATGTTAAGATTAAGGGAGTTATAGGGATTTAGCCTAATTTAAGTGTAGAATTTCATCAGCTGACTTCTACGTACGCCAGATAATGTGGCGTAGTATTCACTAGAAAAGAAGCTCTGCTGTAATGTGAGAGTTATTTTTTGTCATGAAAAGCAAAGAAGAATCATTTTGCTTCATGCCGCTTCAAAACATGCTTATTGGACATTGGATATTTAGGAGGAACTTTCGTATGCATGCGTTACTCTTAGTACGGTGATATCCGCTACCAGGTTTTACATGCCTAGTCTTCCATTCTCACTGAATCAAAACTTTTCCTACTCGGCGCTAAACGTATTTATCTTGTTTATTTCTTTTTTGATGCTTAAACTACATGTTATACATACATAAGTGAGTGTTTTGAGTAACATATGAGTAAACTCTAGACTGTCATTCATTTACGCCGAGTTGTTTCGTTAAACAAAATTTGGTGTGCTGATGTCACACACCATTAAGATACAAGCCATATTTGCAAAATAAAACATTTCGGATAAACCTTTTAAACGGCTTATTTCAGAAGTCATTGGTCATTTTCTCAGATTACGGAATAATTTTCAGCAGTAGACTTCTCAAACACTTTGTTTTTTGTCCGGTCCTTATGAACTAGCGGACGTTTGTTTCTATCCATTGAAATATTGCAATAGTCTCAGTGGTCTATGGGAGGTGGTTGATATGTGTAAGTATCAAAAGCAGTTGTGAAATCATGTTACCACTGTCATCAAAGATTGGTTTTTGCATTTCCAAGTGATATTCGGAAATGTTGCAAGGCGTCGAATTTCGATGATTTTCTTGCCCCTTCGGTTAGACAAAGGACGAATTTATGTGGTATTCACTACATCTAGTCGACCGTTAGATATTGGATACACGTTACATTTAATGACAGTTCCTTGGCGTTATACATGTCATCTTTTTCACAATATACCAGTTCTAAAAATTCGTCAACACAAAATAGACAAGCTTATATTACTTACGTTTCATACAGGGCCTTTCGTCTGTTTTGTAGCAATATAATTCTTCAGTAGTATAGTTGGTTTTTGTCACAAGCGAATTTCATCTAGAAGACCAATTAAAAGTAGAAACGTCTGCACAGCTATTACTTCTTAGTCTTGGGTTTTTCAAATTTGCGCACGCATGACCCCATCTGGAATCGAAACCTGTACCCTCAGGTTATTAGGTGAGCACTTAACGACTCAGCTACTGGCTTTAAATTCAATATAAAGTGGAGAAAAAATGAATACGACTACCACTAGCGATGGTGTTTTTTGGTCGAATTTTTAGTCAGTACAGTCTAGATAGAATTGTGGTCGTGTATGGTGAAATCTGCTGTAGGTCCTCATTTCTTCTTTGTGCTTCATTGATTTGAAGAACAGTCAATGATGAGTAAAAAAAGATTTTACGTTAAAACTTAGATGGCATAGTATTACGTTTTGTGTCTAAAGTAAGCATTTTAACCCTGCTATCTTTCTATCAGAACGAATAACTGTTTCTAAATTGCCAATGTAAAGTGTCCGTTGATATTATTTCTAATTGTCAATCCATATTGGCGGCAGATTCACTGAATCCTCCTTATTTCCAGCTAATTCTTTTTCCTACGCACATTCGTTTATTGCTATTTGACTGCATTTTCTCTACCCTTGTGTGCGCGTTTATAAAATGCGGCAAGTTCTTGATTTGGAATTCTCTTAACATTGGTGAGAAAATTCCCACCGTCCTACAGAAGATAAAATCAAAACGCTTAGCACAACTGGCTTTGCTTCTCCAAAAGTTCAGTTTTCAGTCTTATCTGTTATTGACTACTGAATAAAATATGTGAACATTGTGAAACAGCTCTATTGAAAGTTGCTGTCGTAACGGCGTCAAGTTTGTGCAGTTGAGAAATTGAACAATACTGCACGTGCCACGCAGTATTGTACATCCAATAGGATCAAAAAGTGAGTCACTATGGTCTTGTTCACCAATGACCACTCGGGATTTATAGTTCAAGGCGTTCAATAGGGTTTATGTAGAATAGTTGTAGGTGGCAATGCAAACATTGGAAACTTTAGTGTCTTACGATCTGGTGGTGCTTGGATAGGAATTCTTAGCGACATTCTAGTTGTCATCCATATTGGTTAGGAATTGTGGCTTTTACCCTAAATAAGCTTAGCTGAACTATTGCTTTCACATAATAAAGGAAAGTGTAGTTCATCTTAGCGTGTAATATATGTGAACACATAAAAGTGGGCTTCAAAATTTTCTTTTCAATGTTCGTCATCATCCCATTTGACATATATCAGCTTATCAAACTAAGGAAAACATGGCGAAACCAGTATATCTTTTACCTATATGAACTTTGAAGTCATATTGGTTGGTGTCTTCCCGAATATACAATGCGTTGAATACTAATAGTGGCTGGTTGACATTTAATGTATGAACTTCAGTCTAAGATGCAGTTGGATATATCACTTTGCTACAAAAGGAGTAATTAATTCAATACTGCAATGTCATTGACTGGACTGTCAATAAGTAAGTGGAGGGAGGTTGTAGGATCTAAACAGCTATTAGGCAGACTCTCTTGCCCAGTTATTTATGAGCCCATTGTTAACTTAATCTCTAGCTGTCACCAATATCGACCGGATCCTTTCATCTATGATCTTAACCTGGCTGCCAAGTCTATGACATTTCAGTATTTAATTTAGCAGCCATCAGGTATCGCTTTTGAATCCCGCTGCACCTATTTTTACAACCTATAGTATATCACAATCCGGAATTGAGTAACTGGGTTCTACTACTATATAAATATGAATGTGGGCTCAGATTGTGGTAGGATATAAAACAATGGATTCAACTTTACCACACAAGTGATCTGCCAAATGAAATACAAAATTCCATCCTGTCAAAGTTCGTGTTTTATGTTGTCATCCGAAGAAAGCTGACAAAAGTAAAACAAATTAATAATAACTTTATTTTCAAGAGTTGGTTTGTAAGGATTAAATTTACTTTTACGAGTTGCTGGTCACGCTAAATCACGAATTGGTAGGAGTTAGAATTCATGGACTGACCATTGAATCGGGTCCCAGCGGTTGAATGGTATACGAGCTTGCCTGGGTTTTAACCGCAGTGGGTGCGTACTGCCGATGATTCCCAAACTAGGATGAAACAACTGTCTGGCAGTACTCCAGTGCTGGTTTTCAATGGTTCTCTAACTGATATAAATCCGTGGTCAAACTCGTAAAAAATAACTTTATTGTTTTCCATTTTTCTTCCAGTAAACTTTAATTCCAAATGAAGTTAACAGATGTTTGCAATAAACTCTATAAACGATCTACAACTCACTTTCCAAACTTAGAATATTATAAATACGACTACTACAGGACTCCTGTTCTTAAAAATAGAGTAACTGGTAAAGGTGATAAAACAAGAAGTAAGCAATTATTGTTAATTATGCTAAATTTTCTTCTTCTTTTAAGGAGCTGTTTGTGTAGAAGAAATGTTACTTATGCTGGCTTGCTTAAAAGAAAGTGATTATGATCAACTTCCGTGTACACAAGTGATAGACACTTTTAATAAGTGTGTTCAAGTTATGGAGGTTAGATTCACTAATAACACAACCTTGTTAATAACTATTTTTTTTTATTTAGGAAGATAGAAACATGAAAAAACGTATGCGAAAGTCTGGTATTGTGTTACAATCTCAAGAGTCTGGTGATTCATCTAATCGACTGTCATCTGAACAAATTACAAGACTTTTGAGACGTTTCCCAGAACCTGAATAAACCTTGTCTTTTCATCTGTATATATACATACATATATTTAATTTCAGTTTGTAGTATTCAGAGTTGCCTCTTGTAGTCCTAACTGGTTTGTATAAACTCCTGCATTTGAATACGTTTTTGGGATATAAACTCCTATCTGTCTGATAATTGTATCGATTTTCCTTTACGTTCATATTTTTATGTGTTCAACAATGAGGATATGAAATTGCTTTCCAGTATAAGTGAATCGTGTGGCAGGTAATTCATTGATGTCTCGCCATCATTAAGGGTCACACGCATTATGTGAAAGCTAATGATACTATCCAGCTACACAGGCGGCTGAATTATATAAATCGGGACTCGAACTCGGAACTCATCAGCTGGAAGTCAAGTGATTGAGTCAATCGACCACATCTCATGCTGTCTAGAAAATTGTGTTTTAGAATAAAAATTGACTTGTAGGCAAGACGATATCTTCCAATCATCCGTATGTTGATTCTAATCAACTACAAACTTTATACGATTAAGAATGAGTTGTTTTTTGAATTTAATGACATTCATTATGATCAAAAACTATCGTAATGTTTGGTTAGAAAGTGAGTGTTAAAATCAAGAGTTATGGCTGACAGGTGCGATGTTTAGACGGTATATCGTAGACTTGTTGGTTGCAGATTAGATGGTAGTAATTGTTTCTTCCCGGCTTTGCTCAGAGTGCGACCTATTTCTATCTAGCACATCAACTTGAGCCACCTCTGGCGCCATCACGACGTTAGCCTGGCTGTCGAAGGTCGGGTATACAATGCTTTGGTGCGGGCTGTCTTGCTCTGCACCTGCGAAACCTGGCCTCTCCGAGCTGAGGATGTGCGCCGGCTCTGCGTGTTCGATCATCGCTATCTGCACAGGATTGCTTGCGTTCGATGGCATCATCGCGTGAGTAATTCTGAGGTTCGGAGATCACCATTCATTGAGTGTCGTCATCTGGAAACACCGGCTCCGGTGGCTTGGATATGTGTTGCGAATGTCATCCCAGAGGCTTCCGTACAGGTCTCTGTTCGCTAGCCCTGGGACGGGATGGAAAAGGCGGAGGGGTGGTCTGTCCATGACGTGGCGTCGTGGGATGAAGGATATTTGTGCTAGATTAGCATTGGTTGGTGCGTCACGACTCTGGTTGATGTCCGAGAGACAGCTCGAATCGATGGCTCGAAACGTTATCGGATATGGCCAAGAATCGTAATCAATGCCGGACGTGTTGCAATTTCCTTCTTTCTTCCCTTCCCGATGATGACACTTGACGAATACTGTTTGAACTTATTAAGTATGCCTGTTTTCCTTCCAGATGAAGTTCTTTATCCACCGATATTTTTTACTTTTAATCTATGTTGTTTTATTATTATCGTGTGGCGCATCTTCTTGGTGCCATATTGTACCAAGTTTTTCTGCATTTTGAATAAATAAAAAATAAATAATATCTAGAACAAACTGTCGACACCGGCTCATTTACGCACAGCAAATTGCTTTCATCTGAAAATGGTTTGTGCTTGCAGAACTGCTGGGGCTTTTAGAGTAGGGTGTCTGAAGTCTGACTATGCTTGAGTATATATTGAATTCACTCTGTTGTATTGGTGTTCATCGTGTGTGTCATCATGAACTCGTTAACTTGAGTAGGTTAGTTGCATTTAAATATCAAACTGAGCTAGAGGTTTATTCTCTAGAATGTTTATACGGACACCTATAAGTCCGTGAATAGTGGATGCCTAGGTCGTCAAGAGGAATAGTTATATTATTTACAAAGAATTCAAATAAGTTTACTTTTTATGTAAGTCTGCGCTAAAGATGTTGTCTAGAGAGACAATTAAACTTTCGCAAATAAACTATCCAGCTCAGAGAACACAACTAAACCAATACACAATGGTTTACTAAATTTCTTTACGTGAAAAAAATTACGTAGCGATTGAGACAGAAGTGGACACATTTAACAACAGTCGGAATATTATTATGAAATCAGAGTTACCAGCCTCAAAAGGGCTGTTGTTAGGGTTATATATTTACCAAAATAATTTAGAATGGAGTACTTCAAGCAGTAGCTTGAATAGACTTTCCCAATCAACATTTTTTATCCGAAAGCCTCAACACTCCTAAAGCGTCATGTGGTATGTGGCCCGGTTAATTTACTCCTGCTTCCTTTAGAAATGAGGATGAGGTCCTGAATTATAGACCATTGTTTCTTTTAATTTGACTGTCTTCATTGCTTTGAAATAAGTGGACAATGGAATTTCCTGCTAAATAGTGTTGTCTCGTAGGAAGTTAATAGCACAGCAAAACGACTTGTTCATGTTTTTAATTTCCTGTTGACACTTCTGACCTATCTTTGTGGCTGTGAGGCGTGGCCATTGAAAATGGAAGACTTGGAGAGGATAGTTGTCTTTGATCCATAGGTGTTTGCGTTCTATCCATCGTGTTAAGTGGTGTAATATGGTGAGTTATATTAAGGGCAGACGTAGAGAATTAAGTTATGAGGGAAAATCAATAGATGAAGTTATATTTCTTGACCTAAAGGCGGCATTCGATTCTGTCGACTGAGGGGTACTATGACGATGTTCGGCTGTGAAGGGAATGCCGAGAAAATACATCTCATTGATCAAGGCACTCTACTCGAACTCATGCAGTCAGCCAAGTGAGAACCTGCGGAGAGTAGTTATTTGAAGTGGTGACAACCAGTGGTGTCCGTCTGGGATGCATAATGTCCCTATTTCTGGTTAATTTCATCATAGATGTGCTAATGAAATTGACCCTAACTCACTTCAGCGACTCAGGGATTGACTTGTTATTAGCCAGGGAATAATCTCGTTGGCTTAGAATATGCAGATGATATAGTTCTTCTGGATGAAGACGCTGATAAAATAGAGGAGAGTCTTGTGGACACCTTGAGGAGCAGCAGTCTTCGAATTTTTGGCATACTATTCGCTCCCGTCAAATGTAAGATGATGCTACATGACTGAACTACATTGACTCACTCCTACCTTAAAGACAGAGTGAAGTTGTGGAGAGTGCTGACCACTTCACTTCACTTATTTAGGGAGTTGCATCAGTCCCAATAGCTTGATCTCTGACGAAATCTCAACACTGATACAGAAGGTCCGTTTGGCATATACACTATCTCTGGCTTAGTAGACTTGATATCTGGCTAGCTGTCGAGCAAAGGACGTGTGTACTTCTCAGCAGTTCGCTCTGTCCTCCTTTGTAGGTTTCAGCAAGACATGGCCATTAAAAGTGGAAAACATAAAAAGCCTCGCTAGCTCTCTTTGATCATAGGTGTCTGTGTTGTATCTCCCCTCTTAAATAGGTCCTCCATGTCACCCTTCGCGTTGCACTCAAGCAGTCAGTTGGCTCACAATATGAGGGAAATAGCTATGTGTTTCTGAATCCCTATGTTTCACTCAGAATCTATGGGAATAATAGTAATAATTGGAGAGGAAAACGAATAACCGTAATCTTTATTTGTGAATATGAATCAAACACTTACAATAAAGAAATTTAACCATTGATTTATATTTTGGAAAAAAACCCAATACTACGACAAGGCATTTTAAGACCAAGGGAGTCCTTATATATTTATCATGAGAGTATTTGATGAAAAATGTGATACGTTAATCAAAATTGTTCCACTCTTTGTCTCATGGAATCCCACATAACTTTCTCCTGAAAAAATGTTTCTACTTTAAAGAATATAAGTAGCTTAATTTTATTTTTGGAAATTTCTTGTTATCAAACTGAGATGAAACGAAATAATAACCATTTAGACGTCGAAATAACTGAAACATTTTTAAAGAATATATTGAAAGAATTTAAAGACCTTTAGAATCATATTCTCTAACTTTAAATTACATAGTTTGAGTGGAGAAACCACCATAGTTTTTTATTCTGGAGCCAAAAAGCACTCAGACCGCTTCAGTGGTACATATACTGATATTTGAACGATAAAGGGAAGAATAATGTGCCGCCTTCACAAGGAATATACGCGAAATCATGAAGCGTTCTACACATTTCTATTATTGTTATTTCATTGGGTTTCGAGTGGAACATAAGACTTCGACAACATATCTCCACTTCCTTTTTCTGCCGTCGTCCTCAGTTGGGTCCAGGAATATCGCCCATAATCTCTCACCTCCTCCTCTCACGACCTTCTCCATGTTACCTTCGCACCGACAACCCAGTCTACAATTCCCACTGGGATTCCACTCGAACGATAACTGGCATTGCGCGCGATGTCTTTCGATGGCCTCATTGTATGCCTGATCCGTCTCCATTTTCTCCTACACATTTGTTGAGCAATCAACTCTTGGTTGGTCTATTCCCAACCAGAGTTCCTTGTTGCTTATTCTTTCTGAATGGCCATTTGATCTTCAGTATGGTGTCAACGAAGGGGGCAGCTGTTGATAACAGTAGAGTAGAGTGCCTTTAAATACATTGCACTGATTAAGGCACTCTACTCGTACTCATGCAGCCAGGTGAGGGGTTATGGTGAGTTGTTATTTGAAGTGGTGACGACTAGTGGCGTCCGTCAAGGATGCCCATTATCCCCATTCCTATTCAAGTTCATCACAGACGTACTAATGGACTTAAACCTAACACACTTCAGCGACTCAGGGATCGACTTGCTACCAGGGAATATGCGGACGATATAGTCCTTCTAGGCGAGGACGCTGACAAAATGCAGAGTCTACTGACACCTTGAGCAACAATCTTCGTATGTTCGGCATGCGATTCGCCCCTGTAAAATTTAAGATGATGCTGCAGGATTGGACTTCACCGACTCCTAGATTAGAAATAGGAAGTGAAGTGGTAGAGCACGTTGACCGCTTCACATACTTGGGAAGTACCATCAGCCCCAACGGGTTGATCTCCGACGAAATCTCAGCACGAATACAGAGAGCTAGTTTCGCATATGCCAGTTTACGCCGTCTCTGGCGTAGGCGTGATATCCAACTATCGACCAAAGGGCGTGTGTACTGCTCAACAGTCCGCTCCGTCCTCCTTCATGGCTGTGAGACCTGGCCATTGAGAGCAGAAGACATGAAAAGATTATCTGTGTTCGATCATGGGTGTCTGCGTTCTATCTCCCGTGTGAAGTGGTATAATAAGGTGAGCAATATTGAGGTTAGGCGTCGAGCGCTAGGCAAGGCGAGGAAATCAGTCGACGAGACTGTGAAATTACATCGACTGAGATGGTTAGGACACGTATTACGTATGCCTAGT